GCACAGAAGGTTAGTGAAACAGGAGCTAAGCTTTAGGAATCCATGCTGCGCCCCACTTAGCAGTGTATACCGCAATAGATGCCTACACACATGCTCCCTAATCAGCTTCTCCCTACTGTTGCAGAGGATGCTAGTAAGGCTTAATGGCCTGTAGTTTCTTAGGTCGGATTTCTGTCCACCCTTGCGAAGCGCTAACACAGGAGCTGTCCTCTCCACTTCTTTCTAAAGGCTTCCTCACTTTCCCTTATTATTATTATTATTATTATTATTGTACCACTACCTCACCTTTATCCTTCCGCTTCTCTTGGTCTATTTTACTCTATTGTCTATCGATATAAGCGCTCATCTAGTAGTGTGTAACAGTGCTAGATGTAGGCAAATTATCCGTTTCTAACCGTGAATCGACTGCTCATTCCAGAGGTGATCCCGATATTGTACTCTGCAATCCGTGGACTATCAATCCACCCTGGGTGATCCAAATAGTGGAATACCAGACGGCTGAAGCACGGGGGACATTCACGCCCACTCGAACAAGAAACTGGTCTCTCGTTGGCTCATACCACAAGTCTTGGAACCTGATCTGATCTGATCTACTTCGTAATTTCGAGACTGGGTATTTATTTATATTTATTTATTTAAATTTTGAACTGTCCCGTTTGTTCAGTTCAGTTCAGTTCGGTTCTCACAGGACGAATTGTGGCTCTTGCAAATCGAGCGTCCAGATTTGTGTGTTATCGGCGAGTTTCCTTGGCTTCCAATACTTCGATATGCAATTTTTCTGAAAGGCAGAAATATGTGGTGTAGTATCACATCCCTTGTTGTTAGTTTATAGGTGGTACTAAACGCTTACCTCAGGGAAAACCGCTATCCAACACTCATCAAGTACCTTTTTAAAAGCATCTACAATACTGCAGCTTACCACTGACAGCGGCAGCCGGTTCTACAACGGAATTACCCTGTTAGTGAAAACGTTGCTCCCAGTTGCAGCCTGGAGTGGCTTCGCTGCAACCGTAAGTTGGCCTCGTGTGCCTCTATGCGGAACCCAGGAGAACAGGTCGTTAAACCTAGGACCTGACGTACCCTTGACAATCTTGAATGTCTCGATGAGGTCTCCTCTCATCCACCTCCGTGTGAGGGAGAACAGATTCAAATCTATGAGCTTGTGACCACTTCCTCCTCGAATGTATAAGCTCCTACTTTGTCACCAAACGTCCTCTGCGCAAGAAAACCCATTATCCAGCTCCTGACTTACCCATCTACTCCCAATAATTGCATCTTATGCTCCAACAGACGGTGGCTGATCGAGTAGAACGCCTTCTAGAAGTTCAGATAGCATACCGGTATGCCCTCATAAATTCTACGTGTGATCTCATCTAGGAACACCAGCAGATTTGTCAGACAAAATCGCCTTTAAATAAATCTGTGCTGAGCTGATACCAACATCCCGCTATTGACCATGCAGTGGAATATTTGTCTTCCAACTAGTAGCTCCAAACACTTACATATTACTGCTGTCAAACCTACCGGTCTATAATTTTCGGCTTTTTGCGGGATCCGGACTTATGTATTGCCACTACTGTGGACAGAGTCCATTCTTAGCGACTCTTTAAATGAATGGAATATTGGTCCTACTATGACGTTAGCCAGCGGTTGTACAATCGCTGGGTGAATTCTGTCAGGCCCCGCCTTGAACCTATTTATCCCTGTTAATTCCCGCTGCACATCCTGAATTTTCACAATGATTGGAGGCATCGTGCAGTTACCTTTGATTGATGGAAGGTTATCTGTCACCCTGGGGATCCTGTACGTGCTTTTGAAGAACCGTAACAGGATACGTGCTCTATCTCCTTCGCTCTCTGCTAACCCTCCGATCGACGATTCCAGAGTACCAACCGTTTCCCGAGTGTTGCGACTAGATTGAACATACGCGTAAAAACACTTAGGATTTCGCTTGACATTTTGCATGAAGTTTCTCTCAAATTAGTACTTAGCCTCACTTTGCACTTTCTGCGCTTAGTTGCGCGCTTGTTTGTAACCATTCCACGACTGATGTGTGCCACACAGTTTGTTGACCGTCCACCGTCTTCCATCAAGGAGGACGTTGCTTCTTTCCTAACGGAACCAAAGGTGCGAACCTATCCGTAAGTGAGAGAAGTCCTGTCTTGATATGGCTCCTTCTGGTTTCCAGAGATGCATCAGCTTTTAGTGACTGGTTGGTTGCTGATATTCGTCAGAACCTGTCACTGATGTTTACTCACGTCCGTTTTGAATATTCGTCCCAAATGGAAATAGAACCAGAGAGTGCGTTTATTGAAAACGGTATATTCTGAGATCTTCAGAAAGGTTGTAAGTAGATTTAGCTAGGTCTAGGCTAATATTTAAGCAACGGCAGCGGAAACCTGAAAGTAGATCTGATCAATCCAACGAAAGCGTGCGATACAGAGCTCAATGTGGGGAATTGTGTCGGTGCACGCTTTTCGAATTCATTAAAAGAACGCCAATAGTTGAAGTAAAACTTAATCCTGAAAATGTCCAAGTTGCTTTATCCAATAGAGGAACTTTCCTCAGAGTATAGCTATCGCCAACTAATGGCGATGGCTGCTAAATCTCGACGGTACACTTGATTGTGTCCGGTGGATAAGGGCCCTTAAAGGAAGAAGGGAAAATCCTGACGGTATTTTAACTACCTGATCGATAACTCAGTCGCTACTGGATTTCTGAACCTTAATGGTTCTGATAGGTACTCCATGGTTATGTACCATGCCTTGATAGTCCTCAATTAAACAGGATTGGTTAGAAACTGAACGTATCCTGCTGTTAGTCACCAGCGTAGGGTGAAAGTACTTCTGGTACGTGACTTGATGATCACGTCCAGCTTAAATGGATCTATCAAGGTAAGAAAAGAAAACTGCCGTTGCGAAACTGTCGGTTGAAGAACCGCTACAAGCTGGGTTGGGTACCCAGTTTATATCCTGCGCCGTTCTGGCCAGTTCTCCTTGGTTGATTTTACGATATCGGCTCCCTAGTTTGGCCGCTGGTTTGGTGAGTCTGCTTTCTAGCGTTAGTCGCAAGAACGCATGATCAATTTTCCCTAGGGGTTCCTCCTGAATTATTGTCCTTATGTCTCCAGGGGTTCTGGTGATCACCAGATCCAGTATGGACGGCCTGTCATTTGCTCTAAAACGGGTGACTTGACGCATGTGTTCTGGTAATGAGTGTTGATGGAGCCACTCTAAAAGCAGTCCACCCGCGGTACTTGCTGATGCTCTGTTTCTACTCCAATTGATCTCGGGCATGTTGAAGTCTCCTACTAACAACACCATTCTGGAAGTGGCAAGAAATAATTGCCGCTGAGCAATCAATTCCTGATCGTTTGTCTCAGTCGCCTGCGCAGCCCGGTAGACGTACATGACGGATAATGCGTTACTGTCTATTTTAACTACTCAGCTGATTGCTTGTATGTTGGGAGTCGCTAGGGCTGCTTCCGCCTCCCACTGCGTGTGATCTGATTTTATCATTATCATTGTGAACAGGACTGGACGAATTTTCGGCAGCACCGTTCACCTTGTGAGAATTGAACTGTACGTCATCTGTGAACCATCAAAAACTAAAGAGAGCTACTGTTACAGAATCGAGAGTTCATCTGATGGAAAGTGTTTTGTTCCACAGTTGGTCGTTATTTTGAAGGTCGTGGCCTCCGTGATTTTGTTGTTATCACGGATTGTTCGGTATGTTGCTCTCCCACAATTGTGTTTATTGCTACATGTACTTGATTCATCAAATTTTTTTATCAATATAGGAGCAATGGATAGTCCTCATCGTGAGTTTTAAGAAATAAATCTTCGGGGGAAATGGAGTCATGACCTATCAACTACCGACTTGCTTGTCGGCATTTGATGAAAGCTTTCGGCGCATCGTGACGTTCCTTCCTGTGTGATGCTAAATTATTTCTTCACCAGAATGAATTTCTGAGTTTTGCATCTTGGTATTTCACCAGCGTGCATGTTACTTTTGCTCGGTTGGCTACTGTGTGACGCGTCACACGCGCGCGTGTTACAGCACAATTGGTTGCTTCTTGGAACGGGATTGGTATACTTGGGTATTGCTTCAGTTTTCACTGTCTTTGCATCCTGCCTGCTATCATAAATGTGTATGAGGGTGGTTTTTTTAATTGTTTTCATTGTCTTTTTACCTTTAGGTGGTCTACCTGGAATCATTTACCGCTACGATTCGATGGATTCGCAGCTTGTGGAGTTAGCTGAAAATATTAAACAGAGAGGTCGAGATGGTGCGTTTCCTCTTTTCAAAGAAACGGGATCAGAATTCGTCATGCCCAAGTTTCCCATAGAGCGAAAAGAAATGGAATCGCACATCTTAGAGCTGCGCATGTCAAGGTGAGTACGGAACACTTGAGAATTTCCCTTGTGTATAACCACATTGTAGCTCGTGCAGTATCGATAAGTACATATTTCAAAATTCCGAGTCTGTCAAAGACAGTTTTTGCAGTATGCGTGTCTGAGGATTTTTAAAGTAATTTCACGTTTGTTAAGGCACCACCAGCTCCGACCACGTGCGCATGACTGCTGGACCCAGCGAAACTCCCCACGGCACGACGATGCAATCTCAGCTGCCCACGTATGCGCAACAAAAAGCAAAGTGATAGACTTGAAACAAGCACTGTTATTGAACTTTGCATTAAACGACCAACGTTTTACAATATGTGGCAGCAAATCTCGGTGAAACAAAAACGTAAACCACCAGTGAAAAAGTAGAGTCACTATAGTCCTTAATATAACTGCATGCATTTTCTGTTACTCTCCCTTTGCGGTTGACGGCCGATCATTCCCTTGCTAGGAAGACTGAAAAGGCTTACTTTGTTAGCATGTACATTGTTTTCAACTTGGAAATCACTACAAGCCTTGAGATTTCAACCTAATCTCATAGAAAGCTTCAGATGTATCCGATCAAGCATGACGCATAAAAATGCATGGTTAAGGGTTGTGAAAATTGACCGGTCAAGCAAATATATTTTCTGGATCTTTATGGTTACCCTGAGCATTATGCTCACGCCTTGACCCACCAGTTAAAATTTACAGATAATGTTGTTATCAGTTCCTAGATACCTGCCTTTCCAAAAATGTTAAAGCGGAATAGTAGTAAAAAACAAAGAATATCCTTCCTGAAATGAGAGCAGTAAACGGTGTACCGTAGAAAAAGCAGCAGAAAAGGTACAAAAACGAACATTTCCCATCCAGAGATGAATACTAAGAAATGTACAGATGACAAGGCATCACATAATGTTTATTTACCGCAAAGCTCGCGATCCGTTGCAGGTTTCATAACTTAAATGCTTAGCATCTCTCGCTAAACCTGGATGGAATTCGTGTTTATCACCGTATTTGATTAAGTGAAAGTATCACGTAATCCCGGCAGGTCTCGAAATCTCAGCATGTGATCCGATGCAATGTCAACTCAGCGTCTTCATCGTCACTCTACACAAACAATGATAATAGCTGAATACCGGTTTGTCCAATTATATCGCTGAATTCCTTCGAAGTATATGATAAACACATCACTGCTATCGTTTCTCCTGAGTGACCAAGGAAATGCTATCACTGTAAAGAAAGTTTTATTCGAATACTGCATAGAACTGAGTAATGGAAAATATTGTATATTATATTAAGAAGATAATTATATCTTTTGGATTTGATAATGGCAGGTTTCAGATACCTAAAACATTGATCCATTGCGCGTATTGCATAGTAGGCTTGATGTACATTAAAGAGCTAAACCCCATAACCATAGAGAATATTGTACATCGGGGATGAGGAAAAATTCACTAAACACCATTAATTTTGTAAGTGAATTTAAGGAGGTTATAAAAAGAAAGAATACGGTAAGCAAGAATGTCTCACAATTCCGCGGTTCTTCAAATGAGAGAACTAAAACGCTGTCTTTTGACAAGCCGTTGGAGTTACATGATAGGGGTGAACAAGCGCCGCGAGGATTCGGAAATGATGTGTGGTCAAACGGCCAGCTCTACCTATCAAAATCCGTAGTAATGACAGTAACAATGGAAAAGAGAATCGTGTCCGTCTGATGAAACAAGGAAAGTACACAGTGGAGAAGATTCACAAGGAGCCCGTCATGAGAAACTCGGTCGAATACCTTGGGATTATCTGAGAAGGCCAAATGCCACTCGTCATGTTGGTCATTGGTGCAAGAATCTTTGTGTAACGTATAAACCAACAGATGGCTAATGAAGTTGTGGCAACGGAAGCTATCTTGACTGTCTTTTAGAGATCCACAGCGTTCCAAGTAAAACTTGTTCACTCATTATTTTCATTGCCTTATGAGTGAAACGAAGAACATGGACGGTAATTGTTTGAACTAAATGGTGCATTTGAATTAGTTACTGATAAGGCGTAAACATTTTTTCTAATAGCAGGGAAACATGCCATGAGAAAGACAGGAGGAAAGAGGGTATATGGACAAGATCTGAAGCCTCAGACAATCATCTGGTCCGGGTAGCTCAAATGTATCTGACGAATGCATTTCTATGCTGCCAATACTGTCAATGAATTTGAAACAAAATGTAGGATCATGGTGGCTTCTGGGTTGGGTAAGGGTAATGGAAAGACATGTTAGAATTGAAAGCGAGAGGTAAATGCATTAGCTTTCTGGCAGGGAACGGAAACCAGATCTCTCTCAAGGCAAGGACGAAAGGTAACGATTAACATAAACTGCTTTTCAAGGGATCAGAACTTGAAGGTCAGTTGGTTAGTTTGTTCACCTTACATCGGACAGATTTGTCTTTAGTTTTCTGAATTGCCTTGGCCTGGGCAACCTGGCAGTATTTCACCAACAAGCCAATTATGGAATTTCTTTTCTTTTTATAGAGATTATTGTACCACGATTTGCTTGGAACAGTCTGTCCTAGGACAAGTGCGAAATATAATATAATTATATAGTTTTATAAATAATTACCATTCGTATATTTATTCCGGGTTCGTACACGAAAGCTTGGAAAAGGATTTAGGAACGAATTTGGATGTTGAAATTCCCTTCTCTCCGACTCTCCAGGAACAAGCATTTGCAAAACATTCAGGGCAGTGTTGTTTCCTGAACAGCGGGATGTATGCACATGCAGGCTTTGGGGAATAGTCTGCACAAAATTTCAGTCTGAGCTGAACGATCCTGGAGGAAGACCACAAGCACGCCAGGAGTAAGATTTCAGGAAGTCATTTAACCCGTTCCAATCCTCAAACTTATCCCACCAGTATTCGCGACGATAACGAACTGATAAAAAGATGAATTGAGTGGGGAAACTGAAGACAATAAGACAATATGCCGATGAGCATTGAGATGGAAATACAGATAAAATTTAAAGATAGATAAATCGATTTAATAACAAGTCAACGGTGTGGTTGTTTTCATCTGTGTGATTGGGGTACGGTCGTGAAAGGTAATGAATTTCGGTAGATTGTTCACAATGTCAACCACTTCTATCTAGAGGCCTATAGATATGGTTATCGCGGATTGTGCTAGCTCTAGCAAACGTAGAAGTTACCTAGAATGGAGATCTAGGTTTGAATTATGACCACAAAATATTTTCGATGCGCAGTGAAAGAACAAACACAGAACAATCAAAACTGTTAGAAAAGTGGTTAGGAACTCTAACTTTGTAGTGCAAAGATAGTCCTATCGTTACCAGTATGTTTATCCAAAAGTGGTATTGCACATAGTACGATTTGAGGATAGACATCACATGATAGGCATGGACGTGGATTGTTCTGATACGCACTATTCGATTGCCACCAGGCGATANNNNGGAAAGACTTAAATAATAACCAAAAATTGTGACAGTTTTGCTGAGCAAATAACGTTCGACGAATATCTATCTTCGACAACCGTTGTATGCGCAACATCGCACGCGTATGGTGGGAGTATCACGTGAATAACGAGGATGTTAGACGACGTGTGTTAGGGTCAGGTAGTCCCCCACTGAGAAGAACCACCGTACTGCATCGTCTTGGGTGGCTGGGGCACGTCCCACGAATGTCTGAACGGCGTCTGCCACATCGTGCGCTATTGGCATACATTGGTGGAGGAAACAGCACGCTTGGCCGGCTATGACGTGGTGCAGACGGTTGAGGAGATTGTGCTCGGATTTGGCTTCCGGCTGGGACCCCAAGGATTCAGGTTGTATTTGGCTGGAGACACTAAGGGATATGGCATCAAACCGAAGTGCACGATAGCCGTTAGCACCAGTGATAAGCGAGATGTCTCATATCCGCTAGTTTATGACGTGGTTTAGCATTTGGAGTTCTGAGTCAGATCTCTCGGCCCAGATTTTTCCGTTAATTTTCAAGGGTTTCGTACAACTTCTGATGTAGAATGTTATATATTTTATATGTGATGAAATGTTAAACTCGAATTATGGTTGCAGGGGTAAATCGCGTGGTTCAGACTCTGAATAAAAGACTTGGACATATAGGTCGCACTAGGAATCTCGGTTGCGGGCCTCGTGACCGACCTAATGAATGGTTAGAGTCTTAGTGTCGTAACCAGTGGTGGTCGTGAATCTTCTTACTCTTATTTAGGGTCTTGTATGCCTGGTTTTCATATTTTTATTTTGTAATAGTGCTGTCGGTCCTGTACTCTACCTTACTAATCTTTAATGCCAAATGAGTAGTATCATAAGGCAAGCTGGTTGAGCACCTTATGGTCTCGTTTGACCATCCACGCTCGCTCCTGGAGAGGTTACTCCAGCAAAGAAACACGACGAGGGGCAGTTTACTGGTCAAAAATCCCCGCTAGATGGACGTAAGAGCGGGGTACTTGGGGGAAGTATTCGCACTTCACTGGGCAGCTACCGCCTGCGTAAGCTGGGCAGCCCCCCAGCCAATAAGGTGCTGTCGCATCCATGTTCCGCTTGTCTGAGTGCATGAGGCTAAGGCCAGATCCCGGAAAGCGGATCGTCAATCAGTGCACCAGTGAACAACACACTGAACCGAAACTCAAATGCGTGACAAATCTCTAGAAGCTCCTTCACGGATGCTTTGGGCATGCTTGCGCTTTGGATCTACGCCCTATTACCCTGTGGGTCCGACTTTTGAGTCAGTCTCCGGTTAATTCATCCATGAGGTATAGCTGCCCAGAAAACAAAGTTTATCTACTTGCTCTATTACTTCCCCAGTTATAGTGAGTCTGTATGCTGGACTAATCCAGTGTTATAGTAGCATTTTACACTTTGTATGTACCAGCGGTGTTCATACACTGAATGATTCAGTACGGGTCAGCAGCTACAGAACGAAGCTTCGATGTTTATTTTCTCATTGAACTTTTTATCCCGAGTTCACTATAGAAATTCGTGTTCGTCAGGGTTGCCCTCTCCCTCCTTTCTATTTAACTTGGTCATACATTTAATTCTTGAAACTGCCCTATCTTCGACATGGATTTGTCCCTAGATGGCAGACTGATCTGGAGTATGCAGACGACACTGTGCTGCTAAGTGAAGGTCCAGATAAGTTGCAAGCTTGGTATGAATTATACACCTTTAAAGTGTAAAATTTTGCCATAGCATTGGGTTGATTCATCGCTGAAGCTCACACTGACTGGAGAAGTGATAGAGAAAGGAGATGAACTTTGATTTCTGGGCAACTATATCTCAAATGGAGGACGCATCACAGACTAATTGTCGGCATGCATGCGGAAGGCTCAGTTGGCATTTGCCAACCTGAGACATTTGTGGTGCCGTCAATACATCCACCTGTCCGTGAGAGGTCGAGTGTATGCTGCAGCAGTTCGGCCAGTGTTGATATACGATGCAGAGACTTGGCCATTATGGTAAAGGATAAAGGTCGATTGTCAGTGTTCGAACACCGCTGTCTACGTCGCATTGCACGAGACTAGTGGGGCAACCAGACGAGCCATGCCTAGAGTTAGGCCTAGAGTTTTAGGCAGTCGTGGTGGTCCACTGGATCAAGTGGTCGACTCCATAAATTATGTTGATTGGGACATGTGTTACGCATTTCGCCGAAAACGTTGCCACGGCGAGTGATGCTTGCCGAGGCAGGTAGCGGATGGAATAAAGGTTCAGGGCGGTCAAACGAAGACCTGGCACGAGGGTATGAAAACCATCTGTCATTTCGGTCGCGGTAGGCTCCTTGAATGGGGACCCCGAGAACATGGAAACCGATGGTTCGAGATACTGATTGATATGCTTGGGTGTTGCAAACAGTGGCGCTCGTGCATCTACTCAAAATTATTGCAACCGCAGTCCATGTGAATTCTCTATCTTCCCGCTGAATTTGTTCTCACCATCACAATCTTCGTTCTGCTCTTTTATCCAGATGGTCGGCCAAAAAATAGCAACCAAGACCGGCGCACGAAAGTGCATGGTTATTGATTGTAAAAACTGACCTGAAACTGAAGCCATAAGATATCACCCTTAACCACCGCATGATGATGCATAGTTAATGATGGTAAAAATTGAATTGGACGGTTGATAGGCGCCACTGATAAACTTTTATGGGAAGGAAATTACGGTCTGGTAGTTTTCCCACGAATATCAGACTAGGTCAGATGAAGATTGCACGTGAATGTGTGGTTTAAAGGATAATCAAAGTAAATCCAACATCCTTGATCTTTATTCACAAGTAACCGGACTGAAATAACAGCATCTAACGTTTTGCAATGTATAAGCAGTGGTCATCAGCATCATCGTGGTACAATAAGACGCCATTTTCCGGTCTTCTCTTCACTGGAGAAGCAAAAAGTGTTCCAACGTAAGAATGTGTTCAAACGAACCTTGCTTGTCCCTAAGTATAGTTATCTCACTTTCGCCGGTAAATAAGATTTATGTACTGTGTTGACCGTAGAAATTCACTTCGTCCTCCCTCAAAGTAGGTCCGACCCCAGTCCACCTTACATGTAACCACTTACTTAATAAGCATTATGAGTTTGGCAGCGGTCAGTGAAGTTCGCTTCACCGTACTTCGCTATGCGATGATGATGAATTACGGTGAGAATAATTTCCAAACCATCACCGAGCTTCTTTTTCTTTGATTGAAAATTCTTTATTTTCTGATATCATTCGATTAATTATATAAGGCATTAAACTATCCCAACTATTACTTTATTGAATTAAATCTCGTCCCAATTATTTGTCCATGCTACGTGTTTCAACCGTAATAAGCGTTGTTATTTGCACAGCAGTGTAAGAACAACATCTTTTCATTAGTTAGTGTTTCATCTACTGCGCAACTTCCAGCTGTATTGGTAACGTTCGTTTCAAAACTCCGAATATTACAACATCGACACAGAGGATGCATTATTGAAGGTTAGATGAATCAATGTGCGCTCGTCCGATTTTGTTAGATTTTTGGGATGACCAATTCTACTTTTGTTCGCTAATCACTTGTTACACTCCGAATGCTGCTGCATGCCGTTTCCTCATTTATTTCATTGAATGATGATTTCATAGAATCAGATTCCCATTCGATAGAACGTAGTTATTCGGTCTGTCTATTTCTGCATAGTATTGCGCATACTAATTTCGGAGTGCCTTTTTTAAGGTGATAGCATCGTGAATGGACGTCATCAAGATAGGGAAATAAGTTCGTTAACTAGGATGCATCACGTGCTCCGCTGTGCGTGCCTCATGTGATTCCCTTTCCCATAGATTTGTCAGTCGCCAAATCCACAGACCAAACTGATTATCTTAATGCAACGTCGTCTGGTTTAATGAAGATTTTCGTGGCGTGGGTGCACCCGAAAAGGAGTGGCTGTACTTCTGTCACCCCGTTTTTCAAATTTCTGCTCTAATTAGCACATAGGATCTAGTTTCATTGTGCCTTTTGTACAGTGCATTTGATCTTTCTTCCCCAGTATTGTTTCATTGGGGAATACAGAGTCCTAAATATACAGGAACCTGAGGGAGGGACCATATACTTTTTTGCACTGTGTTGTAGTTAACGATCAGCGTGTAATGAAACAATGCTAAAATGGGCTCGTTTTCTTAAGAGCAACTACCGGAAAATTGTTTTAGCAAGGGGTCTCAACTTAACACTGGATGTCATACAACTAGCCTTGAATTCATTTAAAAGTCATTTATAACAGTTACTGAGTATTCAGGTCTTGGTTGTAAATGACGAAGATTAGTGTGAACTTAGTGAGAAGAGTTTGTCAGTAAAAGCAAATTGATACTATCTAAACCAAATATGATGACTATGACGGCTACACTGTTGTTATACAAAATTTTGTACCAGACCGATTATTTTCATTATGCTTGCGCATATTTTGGTGATGCACCCATGTATACTAAAGCACTTTATTTCATCTTGGTTTTGTGTCTAACCTGTGCTTTTTAAAGAGCTCCAATGAATCATCTGAATCTCTTACAGACCTATTAGTTCGGTATCAGAAGAGTCCCGGAATATAAACCTAAAGGACACTGAACCTTATGTTTCAACTAATTCACTCAATGTCCCGCCCAACTTGGATGGTTCTGAAGATCCAATCGTGAATGGTCAGTCTCAAGAATCCAACAGCGGGTGTGAAATAACATCAAATTTTCCAAAAATGTTCAATGACAGAGACCCGATCAAAGTAGCTGTGAGCTTACCTTCGAGTGAAGAAGTTACCTCTGAACTCCTCTCCAATTCGGTGAAAAGAAATTCTGGATTCGGAAGCACTTTTCGTACTCGGACGTTCACGAACGATTTTGAAGAGCTCTCAGGGGGAAATTCCGTCCCAAAGTCAGATTCCGTTGCATTGGATTCAGAAGCCTTAGCGTCATCAATTTGGCGTTTAATAAGCGTACCAGCCTCACCAGGTGCTTCTGGAGAAGTAGCACAAGTCTTCACAGCTCCTCATCACACTACGTCCTGCCCTCAGCCAGCTGAGATCGATCCTCTGTTGCGCGAGGAGGAAAGTGCTGTGGAAGCCAACATTGAATCGGCTGCGGTGGAATTCCAAAGAGTTCAGATATGCGGTGAGGATACTCTGGATGTGAGTTTTGGTTTACTGAATTGGCGATTGTTTGGAGAGTTTGATCTGTATGGCCGTTCTAGGTAGCACAGCCGTGTTATTCGTTTACCCTGCCAGAGCTACTGTTTGTATTCGGTTCATCAGTATACACATTGGACATATCCTGACTAATTCAATCAACACCTGCAGGTGCTGAATCTCACTGGGAACGAATGGAGCCTTTTTACACAGGTATTTTCTGCATGTTAAGTTGTTTGGTGACTATCGCACCGAGAAACACGTTCTGGCACATTAGACTAATTAAACAATAAACGGCACTTTATTATGTCAGCTTGTTATCTGCTTCTCTCTCTCTCTCTAAAAAACACTATCTAAGCTTCCTATGTGCACGTTCCACTTTAATGTTTCTCATCATCGAGTTAATTCCTTAATCGAACAATGTTTTACTTCCTGAGAATTCATCCTCGTGTGTGTTGCACCTAGAATTCGCCACTGCACGGAATCAAAAATGGAAGTGTCTTTTGGATGTGCTCTTTAATATCCGTCTCTGCGATTGCCATACAGCTTTCCATCGTGTTTCACTGCTGTTACTGACTCATTCACTGACCTGTTTGGTTACTGTAAGATTCATTCAGGTAAATTGCTTCCATTATGTCGAAACAAGGATGTTTCCCCATGTTCTGTTCGCTGGTGAAAGTAACTTGTTAAATTACTGTACTATTCTTCCTCTATAGGAAAACAATTAAAATGCTCTGTTTTGGCGAAAAAGGTTCGTCGGAAGTATTTGTTACTCTTTCCCTCTAGCTTTACCAACTAAAAGTGTCGTCAAGAGTGCCAGCTTGCGGCTTGTTCTACTTTTACATTTGTCTGTCCTGATGGGATAATACAGTGCCCGCCGAAACTACGAGATAAACAAGTTCATTTTTGTGGGGTGAAACACAATCCGCTATGTATTAGGATATAGATGAAAGTTTAGTGTATTATTGAACATGGAAGGGTGACTTGTCACTAGCTCAGAATGAGATACTTCGCGTTGCACAGTTGCGTATTACCTTGGTGCGAGCTGTCATGCTCACAGAAATAATAATAAAACCTGCAGTTCATCGTGATTCATAGACTGCCTATTGGAAAATGTGAACGCACAAACGTCCCAACCTTAAAGAACGAAGCGTCAAGTTATCTACTCGGCGTCCAACAAACCTACCAGCAACAGCATAGTTAAAATGGAGATGGTGTCGTTAATTTCAAGAGGAATTGTGACTGTCTTGGATGCAGAGTGGGAAAATATCAGCGGCTCACTTTGCAAAATGCTGGTGAATACCATAGTGTTTTGATGCAAAATGGACTTAGTATTCTCTATATTTTTAGTGTACTGCCTCATATTTGAATACATTCGTGAGTACCATTTTTAGAAAAGCTCAAATATAAAACTTTTTAATATTTATTGATTTATCGTGGCTTTTGTGATCATTGTAGAAGCATCCCTGTCATTTTGTCTTGCACTGTTTTTTTCTGCCAGTGAGCACCTTTTACCTCTGAAGCACAGCTCCTGTTCACTCGGTCTATTCTTTCAACTTTCCATCGCCCCACGATTTCTACTGCTAGTAGTATGTTTAATTTAAAAAAGAAACTCTCTGTGATCGAGGGTCTTCATCATTCCTCCACGTTAATTGTCCAAATTTCTTCACCTCTGTCTCCACTAGACTGGCTTCATCTAGCAACGACTATTACGTTGCAAATGACGGTTTTTCTGGTTAAACCAGATAAGGGAAACTAAATCCATATGAACCAGGAAAATGTTTAACTTTATGCATATAAATGTGGCAAACAAGTCGAATGAGGCACGTTTTCTTCCACAATTCAGCTTTAGGGACTGACATGAATGTAGGAATCGCTTTTTTACCTTCCACTATTAGCCTCGGACACATGATTGTTGTCGAAAATGAAGTTAAATGGTTCATGAAATCCAGTCTATGAAACATCAAAAAACATATGACTGAACTATACTTGGACGAATCCCTTTAGCAAACTAACCGCATTGTCAAACAACTTTTTGAATTTGTTACTCGTTTAATGTGTAAATAACTTTGCCTTTTTCTTCGCCACAAGATACTTAATCACCAAAGTCTAGTTTTCTTTTTAATTTCTTCTAAGTGATCCGTTCTTGCTTTTCTTCTTTTGAGAACACATTTAACTGTGGAGGCCCTAAAATTCACCTAAATTTTTTGTTTATCGATTGAGTAACCTTCGTTTCACGTCCAGCAAACCAACCGTTTCGTTTTACTACCAATGATTGCGTGGTCAGGTTAAGTCAACAGTGTGACTGTTATTAAGTTATCTCGATTTTCTCTATGCAGTTAGTTTTTTTCTACTAAATACGCTTCTCCCTCAGACCGCTCTGTTTTTTCTCATCTGATTTCTTCGGTCGACAACTTTATTAATGCAATACATCAAATGAACTTGTTGATATGGTACTGTCACTGAAAACTGTTCACAGTTATACCTTCTCACAGTCTTCTCTGGTCCGCGCTGGGTGGTGGATGGAGTCTGTAAATTGTTTCCACCACTACATTCTACCCAAGAGAAAGTAACATGATTTTTAACCTTCTCTAGTCCAAATCTGAGACCTGAACTGTTTAATTTTTATTGTCTTTTTTGTCTACCCAATGTGCAGTGTGAAGCGCGGGCACAAAAGTAGCCTTGACCAGATCTACCCTAGGGCAGATTTGCCAGGGCACTGTGAAACTAATTGCAAACACAGAAATGTTCCAACAGAAATTGTCTTCAATTTTCATGCACAAGTATCAGCGAGACCAACTTAAGTCTGTTTATTCTGTTCTTCAAGTCACCAAAGCCCGGATATTGGAACAATTTTGGATGTGTGAAAGAATAAGTTCAAGAGATATTGCTCATCATGTATTGCATAAGTTAGCTTTATTCTGATGAGTGGTGTGTTTACCAATCTACAAAGTTTGACTCAAATCGAGCCCCTCTATTTAAAGAACCCTAAAAAATGCAACCAGACACTTCAAAAAAGACCTAGGATTGTGCATAGNCCCTAAAAAATGCAACCAGACACTTCAAAAAAGACCTAGAATTGTGCATAGTCAGTCGTCAAGATGAGTATAACACATAGGCAGTCCAACACGTTTTGAACCGCTTGGTGATCGAGGTATATAGATATGGCATGTGTTTTGCGCCATCCAAATGCATAGTGCTCGGCAGGAGCCCGTGCTTCCACTCACCCTCTGTGGTGACCAGCTGGATGTGGTTGAGAGCTTGCAGTATTCGCCAACCTGCGACACTTAGGGTACCGCCATAACATCCGACTGTTCGTTAAGGAAAGGGTGTACATCGCCGCGGTTCGCAGTGTTCTGCTTTACGGTTGTGAGACTTTGCCCCTCCGCTTTGAGGACGCTAATTGATGTATCCGAAGCATTACTCGTGTCTGGTGCAAACACCGGGTGAGTGATTACGAGGTTCGTCGTCGTGTGTTGGGTGTGGATAGTCGCTCTACACCGTCCCAGATGGCTGGTTCACGTATTTCGTATACTTGCCCTTCATCTACCTTTCCGTGCTCGTGCCGGGAAAGGCTGAAAGAAGCGCTGGGCGGTCAAACCGTGGCATGGCATCGAGGTATGAGGAAGCTAACTTCAGCTTTGGTTCGTTTTTCAGGTTGGGTTCCAAGGGATGGGAATTTTTGCTGGTTGGAGACGCTAAGAGTTATGGCCCAGAATAGAAGTCGGTGGCGCGAATGTTGTACGGTCTGATTGTTGAAATCCTGTACCCCATACAAAAAGCAATAAATTAACACACACAAATCAAAAACTGGACGGTGAAACAAATGAAAAATTGTTATTCTCGTCATC